ATTCTCCAAACTTCAAAAAATCGCAACCGTGGCAGTCCGTTTGCCTTACCTGCAGCTGATGACATCCGCAGTCACAGAACCATCGCTGATCCCAATGATGGAGGTTCAATGCAGGCCAATCGTGTGGTTTTTTTTTCTAAAAGTCAATTCCAACACTGTGCGGCATACGTTAATCTGCGGGTTTCTTCTGCCAATTTAATGTGTAGCTAGCTTCCTTGATGGTACCACTAACCGCTAGTCAGGTCTCTTGGAGGCAGGCCGTGTCAATGTTGAGTCTGGTGAGTTCGTTATCAGTAACGGTAGTCTTCCTTGCGTCGTCAATCTGTTGTAGGTCAGTGTCCAATACAGGACACGTGGTTCTTAAATTCCATGTAAAAAAAACAAAATTCTGCTCTTCGTGAAGTGACGTCACCAGAGTTGCTACTTAGCCTGGGCGGTGTTTATGGAGGCAAGCTGCAGAGCTCTACTCTCCATGCAGCCAGTGGAACCAAGATGCAGTGTACTTAAGTGATGTCATTTCCGTCATAGCAATATATTAACAAATGATACATAATTGAATATTGTTATAATTTTAGATAAAATAATATTAGTTTTTAATAATAAGTAGTATATAAAATTAATTGTGTGTACTATATATTTTAGAGATTTCTGTTTTTACTATTCAAGGGTGAATCAAAAAAGTAAGTTTGGTGGTGTGGGTGTAAATTTAATATCTCTTTATCCAATTTTAGTATAAATAAAAATATTTTTTTAATATTAGAAATTAGGAATTTTTTAAAAACGATTTTTATATTTTCCCCATCAATATCTCAAATTACACCACATATTGGCTTGGTTTATTAATAATAATTATAATATCTCAAAGAGCAAGTATGTTACAAACAGGGAATAAGTAAACAAGTAGTTGTAAAACAATTGAAATAAGGCATTTAACCTTCTTCTAAAACTCATTTAAAGCCGAGGATAGAGGCTGTGTACATGTGTATGTAGATTACTATCTTTAAATCTGATGTAATTACACTCTTTAAAAGAAATACATATGTGTTATAAAAATTTAAGAAAACACAATTCAAATTTATTGACAGGCATTTGGTACATTTACATAGTAATACACATTCCTCAAATAAATTGTAAAAGGGAATACAAGGGATAACATTTTGTATATAGTTAAGGACTACGAGGTTTTAACTATTTTCCAAGGAGACAGTCCAGAAGCAAGGATAAAGTGTTGCGAAAATTAAAAGAAAAAACATAATATACATATTTGAAAAATTAAATGATTTTACTGTATCGTGCAAATGAATTTAAATTGCGAAATAAATTGTTTCGGAACTTTTTAATGTGGGTAAATACGTATCAATATCAAATAATTTTACACACATGATATGTTTTGCCAGAAAAGTTTAGCAATGCTAACAAAGAAAAGAGGGGGAAGGGCTAACTTTTTTTTTTCAAAGTATTAAAATGTTGTTTTTTTTTTCAATTTTCGAACAATGAAGTACATTGGAAAGTGGTTGGAAATTTTGTTGAGATTAACAATATTTTTAAAAAAATTATTCATCTCAATTTTGACATTTGCTTATGAGATTTTCTATAGATATAATAATTGTTTGCTGAATGATTCTCCACTAATATAGTAAAGAATAAAAGTAAAAATCTGGTAATTTAAAAAAAAAATTGGTGTATAAAAGTCCACTAATGTTATTAAGTTGGAAATTGTAAATGAACTTTATGTTGTAAATTTAGTCGCAGATAATTTTTTCCGGAACTTGCCACTTATTTAAGAAAAAATTATTACCTTTTGTTTAATATACTCATGTTTTGTTGTTGTTGCAGTTTAGGAGCATGAAAAGAGGTTTGGTTGACCAATATGAGATGGGATTAAATATCTCCTAATTATAAAAATTTCAAGGGCGTGCAACAGTGGCCAGTGACGTCATTTGTATACGGCACGGTTGGGCATTTGCCCCCCCCCCCCATCTTTCCCCCATTTCCTAAATTTGCAAGTATTATTTAAATTGCTAAATAATATTGCGCCTCCAGTAATAAACAACTTAACAAGCCGGCGAAGTTTTGGTTTTGCCCCCCCTCCCCCCTGAAAAAACCGGAAATAACATTTTGATATTGGCGTACTTTTTTTTTCTTTTATTTTTTTGTGGATATTAAACCACAAAAAAACCCATCCTTTAAGCTACTTAAAAACTTTAATGGTTAGATGTTAAATAATATTGCGCCTCCAGTAATAAACAACTTAACAAGCCGGCGAAGTTTTGGTTTTGCCCCCCCTCCCCCCTGAAAAAACCGGAAATAACATTTTGATATTGGCGTACTTTTTTTTTTCTTTTATTTTGTTGTGGATATTAAACCAAAAAAAACCCGATCCTTTAAGCTACGTAAAAACTGTAATGGTTAGATGTTGAGACCTTGCAACAGCAGGTAGAACTTATCGCAATATCACTTCCTTTGTTATCATCTCTTTTAACAATTCCGGTTTGGGTTGTTGTTGTTTTTTTGTTATTGAGAATATTTGATATGCAATGGGAAATAATAAAAGATATAGTAGTCTTCCAGACAGAAAAAATACAAACAGAAACAACTCAAATAGAACATTTAATTGCTGGAGTTGTGGAAAAGAAGGACATTTGAGAAGAAACTGTCAAAATTATAATAGATTTAGTCAAACAGGTAGAAGAAAAGACTGGAATCAGGGCAGGAAATTCAATTATTCTCACAATTTTAGACAGGAAAATAACAGAAGAATATCACCTAATAGTCCACCAAGAAAAGCTTATGAAAGAGGAAGATCAGCATATAATCATGCTTTAGCCACAATTTTAAATAGTAAAGGACCGTTAAGTTTCTACCCAGGTTATTTCAATGAAAAAGTAACATTATGTCTAAGAGATACTGGATGTTCAACAATTGTTGTTGACAGATCATTAGTTAAACCAGATCAATTTACTAAATCAAAAGAAAAGATTAAGTTAGGAGATGGACAAATTATTTCATGTCAGACAGCGATTATTAAAGTTGATACACCTTGGGTAACAGGAAAAATTCAAGCTGTTGTAATGGATAAACCTATAACACCATTGATAATAGGTAACATTCCTGATGTGATACCTGACAATTCTGAAATTTTAATGACACAATGGTTGATGTGAAGACACCAAAGAAAACTGCAAACTTCTATACAGTTATAAAAAAGATGATTGACAAGATAATGAAATAGAAGAAAAACAGAATGACAGCTTGAAGGAAATTACAATGAGCAAATGGAATGGCACTGAAAACATAGAAAAATGCATCCATAGATTTAATGCCATTGTTATAAAGGAAAATTTATCAGAGCACATGAAAGCAAAACTACTTAGAGATAAAATGATAGAAAATAAGAAAGCACATAAGATAACACAAGATAACATTGGAATTTATGAAAGCATGAAAGGAAGAATTAATTCACAATTTAACAGAAAACAGAAAGAATAATAATCAGCAACATGAACTTAAAATTAATGTGATAACAAATAGAAATAGTTGAAACTATAGCTTGACACGTCATTTTAAAATAAGTGCACTGAAAAAATAACAAAGAATTTTTTTGTAGACACAATGCAGGTTGAACAATTTGTGTACAATTATTATGAAAAGTAAGCAACATTTTTGTTTTTAGGTATAATTTAGAAATATATTCCTATGACGCAATGATATTTTGAGAGGGAAATAATATTTTGACTTTACGGTCAGTTATTGATGATCAGTATGATGAAATTCTAAACTATTGATGGTGATATTATATTTTTTAATATTGATAATGTGATATGAAGTAAGATGTTTAATTTATGATGATGATAATTATTTGACTTGGATTATATGTAATAATTTAAATATTTCAATCAAATTTTTTTTTTTAAATGAAGAGTGAGGGTGTCACAGATAATAATGATTTACAGGGGGGTTAATTGATGTGAGAATTATCACGTGTAATTTATAGAGTATGAGCTCTTGGGAATATGAACCAATCAGAAGAGTGGAGTACAAAAGAAGATCGAGAATATGGCTGTTATTATTAAGACCATGTTATTAACATTGTGTGATAAGATAATGAATAGATTGTGATTGTGACGTTATCAAGTGGAGAAGATTTAGTCTAAGTGTTCTTTAAGATCAGTACAAGATTATCTATGTGTGATTATTATTGTGATTGTTTATTGATAAAGATAGTCACTATATTTCATTGCAATGCACAACGACTCTGTTGTTGAGAGATGGTAACTAAATTGGGGTAGTCTGTGAGTGGTTATAGACATGACAGTGGTGGTTTTTTGTTATTTAAAATTCTTTTTAAAAATATGAGATATAACAAATAAGGATGATAAAATATACAACAATTGCAAACCTTAATGCAACTCATGATATATTTATGTATACGTATATATATATATATACAAACACATGTATATTTGTCAATAGGTGTGTATGATGCAGATTTATTTGATAACTCACTTAAGAGTCATAGACAACTCCACAATCCAAACATGCAACTATGACACTGCTCTCTTGACATGCTGCCAAATGACACCGTGGCGGTAGTCTCAATGTCATGACATTTCTTATCTTGTATGCACGCCATTATCACCTTGACTTCCGTGCTTGTGGAGCATTCTTCAGATAGTGCGTCATTCTCCGATTCCAACGTCATTTCACTGATACCATTTAACCTTAAGTTTCAGCGAGTCTATTAAAAGGCAGATTATCCTTTTCTGGGTAGGACATAATTCTTAAGACAAAACGCCATTCGTCAGGTAACACATCCTTTTCCTGTTAGAGCATCATCAGCATGGATAAGACCTTTCTCTTGTAGCACGTCACTAGCATGAAGAAGGCTTTTCTCTGGTTGCGCGTCATTAGCTTGAAGAAGACCTTTCGCTGGTAGCACGTCATTAGCATGAAGAACGCTTTTCTCAGGTTGCGCGTCATTAGCTTGAAGAAGACCTTTCGCTGGTAGCACGTCATTAGCATGAAGAAGGCTTTTCTCAGGTTGCGCGTCATTAGCTTGAAGAAGACCTTTCTCTTGTACCACGTCATTAGCATGAATAAGGCTTTTCTCTGGTTGCGCATCATTAGCTTGAAGAAGACCTTTCGCTGGTAGCACGTCATTAGCATAAAGAAGGCTTTTCTCTGGTTGTGCGTCATTAGTTTGAAGAAGACCTTTCGCTGGTAGCATGTCATAAGCATGGAGAAGATCTTTCTCTGGTAACACGTCATTAGCACCAAATAGACCTTTCTCTGGTAGCACCCCAATTCCTAATAGAACGTCATAATTATTTTGTAGCTTCCTCCTTTGCCTTCTCAATATAGAATAATCACTACCCATAGATGTGCCGCATGTTTCAAACATGTCAGTGTAATGGCTGTTGACACTATCGTAACATGCATTTGCTACCTGCAAACTGTTTACATCATATCCACTACGCAAAATAAAAATATCCGTGTCGTTGCCGACGACGTCATAGCCGCTGCTTGTTGTTCGTGTGGACAGCTTGCCTTTAAAACTTATGAGATCAGGCTCCGAATATATGACTTCGTTCTTTAAAGGTTTCTCATCATTATGGAGCGTCCACAGTTTTGAGTATTGCCACAAAGAATCATCAGCATGACTAACTGGAGTGTCTTGTGTCATGGGGTTGATGTGATTTGACAGCGAACCATTGCTCAACAACTTTGTTTTAGTTTTGGTGGAGTGCGTATTTTGAATAATCGTGTTGTTTATATTATTTAAAGAGCCGTTTATTTCTACTTTATTGTTATTTTTGTTATACTTAACGGTAGACCTATTGATTGGTGTCACTGTAGACCTATAGTTTTGTGCCACCACGACTTTTCGATTTCGTCTTAGTCGCATGATGATCAAAAATGTGATGGGAATCAATAACAAAACAATTGCAAATACAGCTAAGAATTTTAAAATCATGTCGATTGAAAAAATCCCCAAAGTCCAAACACAAGTGGCCTTGAACAATAATTTAGTTTTGTTTAAGGTCTTTTCACCAGATTCCGAAAGTGATCCGTTAAGTTCTGTAGAGTTTATATGTAACCAAAGTTTGAACGGCATACATTCAGAACAGTTTTCGACTTCAAATGGCAACCTACAGATTGATGAGTTGCTTAGAAAATCACATTTGTCTTTATATGTCTCAAAGAGCGATGCAAACGTACCAGACTGATTACATAGTCCCGAACATGATACCTCAAAAGAGACTGCGAAAATCCAAGACTCATTACATAGGCCTGTAGATGACGTCTCAAAAGATACTGCTAAGGTTTCAGACTGGTTATATTGGAATGTAGACGTCCGGTATGAGTTGTTATCATTTCCAAAAGAAAACTCGCGTAAACTAAAAATATGATTTTAAAATAAAAAATAGAATTAATATCTTGATATCATTACTCTTTTCTAATTAGTAATATCAAAATTGACATTTCTAAAACAAGAACTTACGAAGAACAAATTTCACCTAAACATTTAAGTGCCATTACGTGATTTTCAATTTAAAAAAATAACATGATGATCTTTATATTTAACAAATCCAAAATCTAATTCTTTCTATGTTTTTACTGTGATAACCATAAAGTGCTAAGAAATGGCAAGCCGATTATTTGGATATCAATATTCTAGCTATATTGTTAAAATAGATTGACGCAGTCAAAAGATTTAATAACTGCAATTGTGTTGTTTATATTCAAGTGTGTACGAAATCAAGAAACATTTTATTTCTTCAACAGTAATACAAATTATACTCTTGAAAAGAAGGACGGACAGGCAGACAGACAGTCTGGCAGGCAGGCAGGTTGGCGACAAAGAGGCAGGCAGTCAGACAAACAGGCAGGTGGACAGGCGGACATGCAGACAAGTACGCAGGGAGACAGACAGACGGACAAGCAGACAGACAGGCAGGCAGTCAGAAAAACTAGCAGGCAGACAGGCTGACAGGGAGACATGCAGAAAGCTTGAGAGAATAAAAATTGAAAGAAAAGTAGGGAAACCAAAGTATAAAATGTTGAATAATAGTGTGTTAATCTTTAGACAAGTATTCGTGTAGATATATATGTATATATATAACATGGTAACCATCAAATAAGGCATTTTTTTTAGCTGAAAGTGATATTGTATAACCAAAAGAATTATAGCATGCACACCATCTGCACATACAATATTACACATGCTACATTAGACTTACTTAAATTTGTTATCAAACAAATGGATGTCATAACCATTATCTTCTCTACAAAAAACTAAAGTGAAGTTTCCAGAAACTAAACACTTTCGGAATCCGAATATGGCAGCATTAAACAGAAAAATCAGAAAACACAGGTTCATCGTGTAAAAAGTCTTGTACGCATCTGTGTGTAATCGAGGAGGACCTTGCTCCCAATTCTAAGCCTTGCAAAACATTATTTGTATGTTTAAAAAAAATAATTACACCATAAAAAATTGTGTTATTTTTTTTCAACACATAATGGATTGTTTGTTCTTTTGTTTTGTTTTATCAACCTGGGTACACTTTGACACTTTATAAATATGACTTTAATGAATTTCCTATGACTCATTGACACAAAGTTGAACACTTGATTCAATTTTTCTCATGATCCCATCTAACCGAATGTGTCACCAATAACATCAGTCTGGTTTCTGCTGGCTTAGCTTTCGATGGGTGTTTGGGTGCTTTCAGTGAGAAGTCACTGAGATTCTGCGTGTATCATTTCATAAAACTCAAATCCCTTAATATCTTTTTTTTTAAATTTGAACAATTAACACATATTCTCGTCGCTGCTTGAACTTACGCTCTTTAACCCCTGGCTATTACCTTTGCAACCAGTTCCATCTGCTGGGCTGTGCCCAGTAACATTGTCGTAAAATAGGACTCTCCCATCGCACTGGCAAAACCCACCATGAAGTGCTGAAAATCATGGTGCAATGCCGGAATGTTGTCTTCATTCATTATAACTAAAACACATATTTTCATGTGTTTACATTCTTAAAACTCCGCCTAGTGCATTGCTAACCAGGTCCATCAGCAGAGATCTGCCATATAGCATAGGGCTCTTCCACCCGCATGGCCTCCCACGAAACATCTGGTGACGGTCTTTCGGTCAACAGATGTGCTAGAGTTTATGGGACCAGGCCGCACGTCCGGCAGCTCGAGTCCCTATTATTATCTAGCCTATTGAAGTATATGTTTATTGGCCAATGTTCGATACGCATTCGTGGTCACCAGACTCGCTGTCGGCAACCTAGCTTCCACTAAGGGCCTTGTCTGCTAGGAAGCGACATGTTATTGAAAACACTTCTGGCATTCGTGCTATACCCACTGCCAGTACCATATTGTTCGAAAATGGTGTGATAACCAGTTTTTTGGTATTTAGATAAGTGCCTGGTACATTTGGATGTGGCGTGGCAGTCTGAGTGCCTGCGTTTTCGTTGTGACCTAATTTAAGTTGCCCTAAAATCCATTAAAGTTGCTCAAATCTCAATATCTTGCCTACGGCATTTAGAATGGCGCAAACTAAGTGAGTGGCACCCGCCTCCAAACTCCTGATCTCATGAACAGATCTAGAGTCGGAGTAGATGAATACGTCATGTACCACAAGCTTCCACCTCTGCAGAGTGTGGTTTAATATTATCAGGGCCCTCAAAATAAAGTCTAGCTCCACCTCGAAATTTGATGATGTAGCCCGACAGGGCCCTGAAAGTTCCTTATTTTCTGGCCCTCCAGTTGGGACCAGGATGAGCGCAACGTTCCACGCATTTATTTTTCTTTTTTTAGAAGACCCTTCCGCGAAAAATTTTACAGTGGTTTGAAAACCCGTCCATGGTCTCCAAAGCAGCCACTTTCTGAGCATATGCAGTATTGCGCTTCGTCACTCCTGTTACCGTAAAAGCCAAATGTATAGTAAGTATCACTGATACTAAATATCTCTCTTCGATAGGCCTCTCAATGTCTTTATATTAAATATCAGAGTGATGGACACAGTTCATATTTGAGCTACACAAAAATGAAAATACTTAACAGTTTGAGAACTATTAAAAAAACCTCTTTCAAGATACAATATTTAATAGCTATATCGACTCCATTTTTTTGTATTGTGAAATTCATGCATTTAATAGTAGGTCTAGAGCTTTTTCGACAAGCATCTTATACACGACATTTTAAATTTTTTTTATTACTATAATTTAGTTCACTGTAAAAGAGTAAACTGACAAATTATATCTGATTTCAAGTCACAAATTCAACCGGAAACAAGGCCATTAAATACACGGATGACTATCTTAATACACCCTCTTAGCACTCGAAACTTAATTAAAGTGATTCATCAGCCTCATTCTACGTTAAATGTGTATCACATCCATAAGGCCCCTCGTTGAATTGTTGTAAAAAATTGAACATCCAATACAAAAGTGAATGAATAGTGCTGTGATAAATGTCACGACCTAAACAATGATTCAACTACAAAAAAAAAAGTAAAAAAAAAAAAAAAAAAAGTTTTTCAAAAAAAATAAGGCCCCTCGTTGAATTGTTGTAAAAAAATGAAAATCCAAAACAAAAGTGAAAGAATAGTGCTGTGATAAATGTCACGACCTAAAAAAAGATTCAACTACAAAAAAAAAAGTAAAAAAAAAAAAAAAAAAAGTTTTTCAATAAATCCTTTATAAAATGGACAAAGCATGCAAACAAGTAACGCGTTTTATAATAATCTCAATTAGTTAACAGCACATTTCTTCTTCTTCTTCTATATCTTAAGGGCCCACGATCAATTTATTGATCATTTTGGCTCCTATGCATGTAGATGGGATTTGCAATGTTTCTGTTACTTGTGGTTATGAGGAAATTATGCACAAGGGGTTTGAAGGCTTGAGGCAATAGACACAAATGTGTCCTTTTGAAAGATGGTTCCAGTCCCTGATTGTCTTGGGCAGGAATGAGCAGCTCCTATACTAGCTTCTTGCTGGTATGAGCCTGAAGTGCCTGTCATGACCTCGTCGCAGTCTATGGGGGAGAGGGACGAGTTTCTGTTTAATATAGGAACAGTGGACCAGCCCATTATTTATCTTGTACATCATTTATTGTATGCATCTGAAATATTTTGATATTCTAAAGACCCATACGCTTTTAAACTGCAAATTTATTTCACTAAATATTTCAGAAAAAAAATGCTAGGGGCCAAACGCACTCGAGATATTTTTTTAAAAATAAATGTTTGTGCTTTTATCATCAATTTGAGCAATTAAAATATATAATTTTATTTTAAAAATATGGTTTTCTTTCACAAATCAATTTGAATCCATTTAATCATCCATAACTGTAACAACATGCTCAGAATTTTATGCATAATTAAAAAATAAATTATATTAGATTTCAAGTCGATAAAGCTATTGTGTATTCGTGATGAATATGCATGCAACAAAGAAACAAATAAAGGCCTTTATATTATTACTTTTTTGGTTTTGTTATGACCCAGTAAATAGCGTACATCAATTGATTGGGTATAGAATATAAAGGTCTACTAATAAAGAATATAAATGTGTATACCTAAGCACTTGGAGCAGATAAAGTATGGGATGCCCAGTGACTTTGCAAACGCTCACGTAAGAATAAGTACACATTGAATGCATAGACCAATACAAATTAAGTCAATTTAAGCATTTAAAGTGGTTAGGAAAAAAAAATCAACCAGGGCGTTAACTCTTCTAAAACAATGACATCTACGTCAATGATAGAATTAACTACTTCTAACAGAAGGAACGTGTTTACCTTATCTTATCTCAATTTCAGGTTAACAGTTAACGTAGTTAGGTAAAATTGTCATGTCAAAAATTTCTTCCTCCTCGCGACTGCAAATTACAGAGAAAAGGAAACTCGACGGAATCAGAAGAACAAACAGCACAACGTTCCTTGGCATGGTAAGCAATATCAATACAGTTTTTAAATTCTCCATGGAGCCCCTGTCGTTGTTGGCACTTCATTGGTTTGTGGTCGAATGTGGTCGTCAAAGCATTCCTCCAACAGGGTAGACATGCATGCTGGTGTATTGTTTCAACTTTAGATCACAATGGTGTTTGTGTGTGGAAGTTCTAATATTAGTTGCATGATTTCGTAATGCTAGTGATAATAGAGATGTACTCATTTTGACTCGGACAACAATTTGTGTTCAGGATTGCTTAATAGCTCACCTGTAGTCACTTTGGTAAGTTTTGTTTGTGGTGAAGTTGTAACCTCGCAAGCGGCGATTTTATCAGCACGTAGTCACAGCTGAAAGATAAAACCGGGTCTTTCAGTATTACCTACGTTGAAACAGTGACAAACAAATATATATTTTAACAAAATGCGTAATGCATTGTGAAGCATCATACGTAATTTTTTTCAGCAACTATCGGGTTTTACTCACCAATGGAACATCGACTCTTTGGTAATAAATTATACATACATATTTATAGGGCAATACATGTATTGCAACCTTCCGTTTTCGCTAGACGATGGAGTAGCTGTGCACACTTCATCAAATTGCTCACTAGGCCGAATATGGAACGTCAATCCCGGCTCAATTTCTCGCAGTAGAACCTTGACTCCTGGTTAGATTTGGTCTTCCGTGTTAATCTTTATGTTTCAAGTGCTTCGTTTCACACCATCTTCATACACTGCTTTTCACCAGCTGGACGTTGCTCAGCGATGATCTCTCATTCTTTGATTTCTATGTTTGCTTCTTACCTGCTCCTTAGGCAACGTCATTAAATCGAAGCTGCAGCCATTCAGTAAATCTTGTCTATTCTGCCAACTCTCCATACGGCATATATATTATATATATATATAAATACATATATATATATATATATATAAATAAATATATGATTGCCTTTCCAGGATTGGCCTAGTGAGCTTCTCGTCATAGTGTATAACTATATAGCTACTCCATCGTCCCACGATGACGGAAGGATGACATTATATATATTTATATATATATTATATATATATATATATTGAATAATGAAATTATTTTTGAGAATGAAATAGTTATTATTTTGATTTTAATAAGTCTTACTGTTATTTTCAAAGAATATTAACCCTTATCTTCCCTCAAGCCCCCTCTCTTTATCTTTTAACTCTCCTATTTAATATATTTTATCAATTAAAATTAAAAATTGTTGCTTTAAAAATCTGATCTTGCCTCTGAGAATCTGTTTTGCTTGACTTCACAAAAAGGTTGATATAATGCTCCATGAAAAATGAGCAATCATCATCATGTTCTATAATAGACGTCTGCTCATATTTAACTAAAAGCGTTACATAAGTTAATGCAAATATAAATAATTACACACCACTTCATGATTTCAATCTGCTAGCTTTCTTGGAACACACAGAAAATATCATTTGAACGAAACAAACAAATTTTGGTTAAAAAATATGTCTGTTTTGAAAATTAAATTCCATCATGGTTTCTATTAATATTAGATATAACGTAACTCAAACAGTTTTGTTATCTTTAAAAATTATTATTATAATAACATAGAAACGCAATTTTAATATACTTAACCCTTAAAAAAAAAATAAAATCCAATGGAACGAGTTAAGTGTAATCGCTTGATGCAGTATCGACTCTGCTCGTTAATCTTTATTATGTTTCAAATAAAGCAGACACAAAAAAAAAAGCTCTCTTTCATCCAATACAGTTATCAACTCAAATTTCGGATTAACAAAAGCAAACACGTCATCACCGACGTGAAAAGTATTGCAATGTTATTTTGTTTCTTAAGTTGATGATCGTCAATTCAATTTCAAATTTCTTCTTGCATGCAGAGATAATCAATAGTTACGATACAGTTAGCCACTACGGTTTCAACCATTTCTTTGATGATAACATCACATGTTGGTTTATTTCAGATTCAGCCAAAACATTCGGAATTGTTCATTGAATCTATTTCCTTATTCTTGTTCTATGCATTTGTTTCATGAGATATGTTTTTAACTTTTGGCTGGAAATTACATGTTAACTTATTAGTTAAGTATTTTTAATTTAAATATTGGTACCTTTTTGGAATGATTAATTAAACAATAAACATACACACACCACATACATTCACACATACGAAAAATATATATATATACTAATACCTTAAAAAGTGCGAATTATTAATTTAAAAAAGAAATTTAAAAGTACAATATTGAAAGTAACGATTACTTGTAAGTAACATAATTAATAAAGTGATGTCGCGTTTACAGATTTCATGGAATCAACCAAATTAAGTTTGAACTTAAAATATACAATATTGGTAACCAAAAATAATAATGTATGGACACACATGTAGTTTAACAAAATTTTACAAAACTAGTTTATATGATGTTTTTTGAATGACTTGTTTAAATAATTTGCTTCATGGTTGTGTTTGAATGAATTGAGGGTTGAATTTCTTTGAATGACTAGATGGAATGAATTTTTTAATTGCTTTGCTTTGAATTTTTTCTTTGTATTATTTTCAGGTTAGAATAAATAGTTTGAAGACATTGATGAATGATAATTCGAATGAAATTTTTAGATGATTAAAATGAATGTTATGTTTGAATGACGTGCTGTACAAGGTGTGTATCTCAACGTGTTGGCTTTCAGAGTTTTCTCTAGTCTATATGCTGATTTCAAATACTTTATGTACATTCCTTTAAATAACGACAATGATGAATTGGAAAATAGCTCCTGGGGATTATTATTTTCATATTAAAAATCTATATATTTTTAGCGTTGATAATTTATTGTGAAATACAATTAAAATTGTTAAAAATAAAATATAAAGCACTAAATTAAGCAACGTTTAAAAAAATCAAAAACAGGATCTAAAGATGCACAAATGTACTTTACTAAACATCCAGCCAATAAGCAAACATTAAGCAATAGATTTTTTTAAAAATAGATTTGGAAGGTAGGCATTATAGTCATTGTTTACTGTTTTCTTGATAAATGATGTTTGCACACAGTCATATTTATGTTTTTATTTATTTTATTTATGTCCAGGTCAATGCTTCGTGCATTTCTTTGTTATAATTCGTTAGATGTACAAACATGACAGCCAGATCAGACATCTTTGCAAAACACTTAACACGATTTTTTTTTGTGTTGTCATTTTATTCAATTTCTGGCTCTAATACAAAGTAGACGATTTTACAATTGTCGCCTTCTTTCACGTTTTTTTCACTTGCCTCATACGTGTTCTCTTTGGAATAAACAGAATTGATATGAACTGATGCATCTTGATTCTCACATGTGCCGCATGTCGTTTCCATCAAAGGAATATTGCAATACAAAGATTAATCGATTTCTTCGTATTCTACATCAAATATCTCACGATGACGAAAACAGTTTTTCTTATTTAACCAAGTGGTAACCACTGTTAAAATAAGAAGAATTGTAATCATAACGGAGGCTGACACGTAAATGACATAGTCTTTTGTCGAAAATTCTTTACAACTCCCCAAGGTGATAAGTTTAAAGCTTTCATTGATCAATTTTACCTTAACATGATGTTGCCAACTGATATGAAATGTTTGGCTTAAGTAAGGAGGCTGAGAAGTAACAACACTTATTTTTGTGTCGCATGATTGTTCCGTTTTTTCACATGTAATGTTAACGGAGGAATAGTTCGAATCCACGGGAAATCGATATATGAAACAGTTGACCCGTGTGTCAGTTATGTTTCCGTCTATTGCAAGTTGTCTCTCTTTCGGTATCATGTAAAAGTCGGATGACATTGAAGGCTGTGTTCCCACGACGCACGGTTCTAAACAGGTTCCAGATAAACAGTTAAAAAATCTGTAAAGATAAAACAAACGAAAGAAATACACATTTTAAAAGAGTTTAATTTAAGAACGAACTATGCTTATTTATGAAAGGTTTAGTAAAAAATTGATCTTTGAGGCATTTCATTAAAATTGTGTCAACATGACAGTTGAAGGAACACACATTTACACAAATTGTTTGTCAAATTTCTGTTTTTTTCAAGTTTTTATTTCTCAATTTATATTGGCTGCAGAAATGCTTAAACTAGCAAACCACTAACTTTTATTGAAAAACAGTGCATTCAAGTAACAGACTTTATAACATTGCCAATAGATGCTAGCTTTTGAGAAATTTTATTCTGCGCGCCTGTTGAACACTGCGTTATAGTCATACATACACACCTAGGTAATCATTATTTATGATTCATGGTTAGCGTCAAATGTTCTGCCAAATTATATGACTTTTTTCAAGTTAATCGGCGATCTAGTTTCTCAATTGCATATCTTTTTTAAATTTAATTTTTTTATTTAAATACTTTCATCGGAGGTGTCCAAATTTGTCATTTTATTCATTTATCCTCATACGAGACTCACTCCCTGGCTTTTGCTTAAGAATGTTTTTCTCTTAGTTTATTTGCCATCTAAGTTTAAATTGTTCCATCCACCCGGCTTACTGGTGATGTTTTTACGTGACTTGATCTTTGGTAGGGATTGAACTCCAGACCAAAAAGCTTGGAATTTAGAGCACTCGACCACCCAGCACCAAAAATAAAACTAAAATGAAACACATCCAACATCCTAATATAATATAATGTAAAAATATAATGTTAAGCTTTTGTTTCACTTATGTTAAATTGTTTGATGTGTTAAAATGACTTAGTAACATATTATTAGGTCTTACCTCATTAAAAATGGTTCATAAATGTAAATGTTTGTGTTATTGTATAGTAAAACAAAAACTCTGCTCCGCTCTGTCAAATTTCCTAGTAGATTTCCGGATATAATCGGAACAAGTAAAAAATAAATGTTTGCGAACTTCAGGGGATATAGGTCCATGATTAGTGCCTTAAAAAAGAAAACGAAGAAAAAATTCTTCGAACATGTTAGATTAACTTGATACTTAAGTATGAATAAGAGCATTAAGGAAATGTTTTAGAAATGTCGTATCCCCCCAATACACTAAGTTGTTCAAATAGATTCACAGTTTGAACCTTGTTGAAAACGTATCCGCAGTTCAAAGTGTTGAAATTCTTGGGACATACTAGTGGGTTGAATGATTATATCTTTAAGTGAAATAAATGACAAAACAAGTCACCACCAATCTCTACCCATCAACGTCATCAGAGTTAGTAATTGCTTATTTATTTAAAGTATATCGTTCTACATAAACAAAGTTCAATTTGTAATAATAAAAGCTGATTTTTTTTTAAAATGTATAATATACTGATAAGATCAGCCGTTATCTAGATTTTTAAAATGATATGTACTTCTTTATATATTTTTTTAAATCTTGCTTTACATTAGTAGAATAAAAAAAAATTATTCCTTTTTATTTTTTTTGGCAGATAGAGGAAATGAAAAAACTTACGTTACAGATCAGAACACTCAGATAAACATTTGACGAGGAAAAGATCCGCCTTGGGCTAAGCCTGAAAATAACACGCCCACATCCCCCTTTCTTTATCAAAAAATGTTATGACCTATAGGCACTATGCATGGGCGTAAATACGTGTATAAGATTAATTTAAGAATATTTTATATTTTAAATTTTGGTCTGCTATGTAAATTTCAAGTCGAAATGTGTCAATAGCATTCCCTTGTCTCGCTTTTCATGTTTTTTTCATGTCATTTTCTTAATATGTTTATAGAATTTTTTGGTTACAATTTACATAAATTCTTAAGGAATGCATTCAGCAACCTTATGGAACTCATCGTATTTCAGTTTTAATATGACTAATGCACCCTTAGGCGATAACAAGGAACGTATGACCATTACGTCCATCTACTGTGATGTGCTTGACCGGGGGAGGGGGAAGAGTTAGTTGATCGTCCCAAAGTAGGTCCATGTTGTGGATTATTGGAAAGCACTGAAAGAAAGGTTAGATGGAATTCATTGTGACTTTTGATGTGCTGCAAGTAAATATAGTTTTTTTGTTTCTGTACATTTGAAATTGTATTTTAAGTAAATTTATTAGTATTATTAAATTGAACTTCACTAGCTTTGGTATCATTTTAGTTTGCATATTCATTTTCAGTCCTTTGCTATATATTGTTGATTTAACAAGACCAAACTCGGAACAAAGTCAATTGTTCATCCACGTAATGGTAGTTTTCACATGCCTTTTGTAAGCTTTCGTTGTTTAAAAAAAAAAAGCAAACAACTCTCGTTTGTCAATTATTTAAATATTAACATTTTTAATCTGAATAATACAAACGAATATAATTTTCAAAATAAATAATTCTATGAGTTTTCCACCAAAGAAGAATTAAAGCGCACTAAAAAAAATTAAAGTTTCTAAAATTGCATTACGCCAAAAAAGTCTTTGTGGAAAATATTTTAATATAAATAAAAATAAAATGTATTTTATTTCCGTGCATATTTAATTTAAATTCTTAGGCTGCGTTGAGTGCCTTTTATAAAATTCTTCAAATAATGTTTATGTGTAATGTATTTTGCGAAAATAAGATTTAATTTCCTCCTTTTAGTGCGTTTAACAAACTTGTATTTGATAAAAGGTCGTTTTTAATATGATTTTAGGAGAAAAAAAATTGTTAAATTATTTTATTGGCTCGATGAAATCAACAACAGTCATGCCAAATGAAAAGATCGATATCTTTACAGCTATGACTGGGAACGATGTGGCGTTAGTCCTACCACCAAGATGATCCTATGAAGGAACATTTAGCAAAAACTCTTATATAACGCTGAAGACAAGAGTGACAGACAAGGTAAACATGTTAAGGGTGTCCGCAGAAGACCGCCTTCTCACAAACGAACGTGCCAGCGAAGCTGAATATGTTGTTATGATCCGGTTTGCCTGGTCCAAGAGAGGTGGTGGAATTGCTTGACTCATGTGTTGTGTTGTTAGCTTTGCCACACGTTAAAAATAATACACATCTTAGGCGTATTGATGGTGTATGACCACGTGGCGAAAGAGAGTGAAAAGCAGAGGACAGAGAGAATGCGTGGAGTACTTGCTAAATGTAATGTGCTAAGAGTTGTTGTAGTTAGGTATTACAAGTCCTTTTGCTGGTAGGTAGTAGCTGATAGTTCAAAGTGAAGATTGTTCTTCAGAGTGCTATAGTATTATAAGTAGCCGGAGGGCACATACAATCATACAGTGGTATTAATACCTTGTTCATGTTGACATTATTGTCTATCAATCTTCAAGTTAGAAAAGAAGAGTTTGTATAATTAGTGTTCATGAATTAATCAAGTATTGCTAGCAAGTCAAAAACGTAACATAAACAACATGATATTGAACCACTGTTCAGTAGACATACATACTAGGTTTTGGAGGGGTGGGGGTGGGGTGTGGGTATAGGTAGCACCAATAGTATAGCATAGTAAGTTTAAGAAAACATTACGATGTTTGTTGCAAATTCAAAACAGTAGACATTTAATAGACACACATAGACAGATGTTAAAAAACAGTATGCATAATAGAAACAAAAATAGCTTTGTTTTATCTTAGTCTGATTAAAACGCTATTCATTTTAATGATTTTGTTATCTTTAGATATCTGCTTATTTGATTAACCTCATAACATTTAGTGGTTGTTGAACATGAAATAAAACACACACAAATATCAGAAATAAAGGGGCGGATTAAAAAGCGATTCAATATATATAAGAATGAGCTAGGTTCACATAACGCCAAAAGGCAGACCTTTTTAAGTACGTTCGGATTCCTAAAAACAATCATAGTTATTTTTTATTATTTTACGGAAATCGAATAAATTTACATGCGCAAAAAATATTAAATTTCCACTTTTAGTTTTGCAAAAAATTAAGTATTATTATTATAAATTACAATTATTTTTTAATTTGATTTAAATTATATCACGAATGGGAAAAAAGTGCAAAGTGCACGTATAGAATGAATTCATACTTTTTACATATTGCTTTTGTACATGTTACCTGAAAAAATAAATTATCAAAGAAAAACTGAACAGAAATTGGTTCAAACCAAATGTTTGTTTAACAAAAAATTAACAAGTGTATTTAAAAAATTGTTAAATGGATTGACCATTTTAGCTTTATATTAAGTTCTTCTCGCCTCATTTCATTTATTTTCTAGCTCTGATACATAATAAGCCATTTGATTAAGATATTAGGCAAACGCCACAATTGTCTTCATTGAAATTACCATATCTAAAAAATTTGAGCCTGCTTGCAGCTTTTATGTTAACTTAGCGAATTGATGGTAATTGTCAATTTTAACAATTGCAAACATAAAAATATTAAATTTCCAGGTTATTAACTTTGTGACTCAGTGTTACCTGAATGAATTTTATAGTACAAAGATGCATCCATTTCTTCGTGTGCCACGTTAACGGAATTATAGTAATTAAGTTGAACAAATGTCTTCTTTTTAAGCCAAAAGGTAAATTTTATCGAAATAAGAAATATCGTTATAATAATTAAAGGTATAACGTAAATTAAATATGTAATTGTTGAATATTTATTGCACGTATCCAGGCTGATGCTATCAAAGCTGTTGTTTATCAAAGTTAACGAAACATGCTGTTGCCAACTGATCTGATACGTTATGAACAATTTGTTAGTTGTGTTTGGGCCCATAGTTCTTCTAACGTTTATTATCGTTTCACAAAGTTGTTAACCCTGGACACACAATATGTTAAAATAAGAAAGGTTAGAAGAACCGATGTCAATTTGATGTAAAGAACAGTTGATATTTATGAGTGTTCGATTCGCGTTGTTATTAGGTGTCCCGTTTTTCGGCAATAACACAAAGACTGTTGAGAATGACGGTCGTGTGTACATTTCGCCTGGTTCGACGTAGACGTCAGATAAACAGTTTAGAAATCTGTGGAGATAATGGACTAAAATAAAGGAATAAACAAACAATATTTATAAAAGTGTTAACTAAGTTGAAAACTATCATAATGATTACTATTAGGATAAGCTAAAAGCTAAAAAAAAACGAGAAATTATTAATATTGAGGTATATTTTTAAATGGTGGGATTAATTACGTCTTTAGAATTTTCAGCGTAAAAAAACAAAGTAATCTAAAACCTTATGTTTTTTTGAAAATTAATGTTAGCATCTATACAGTGCACAATTTTGATCGTAACTAATTTTGTATAAAATTTATTTTCGATTATATTTTTTTTTCTCCCAACAAAAATATATATGCATTATTTGAATAGTTTTAATGTAATTTAAAATGAAACTGAAGATGATAGGTTATTTTTTAAAAAGACAAATATCTAAATATAAACAAAGATAAATAATTTAATGTGCCCTGCTGTAATATGAATTATCTTTGTATTTTGTAATAAAATTTTATAGTTTATTTACATTATTGTTTTATATATAACTATGACTTTTTAACATAATACTTACCCTATCAACTCTGTGTCATAAACGTAAATATCTATGTTACTGTGCTGTAAAATTAACACTTCGTTGAGCTCTGAAAAATGTGCTTGTGTCAATCCCGATGTAGTCAAAACAATCAAGAAATAAATTAGCACAAGCTTTTCTAAGAGCACGTCCATTCCTATTTATTTTCTGACTATTTACCAAACAACTATTTTGATTTATGTAAATGTATAAATATGAAGAAGAATTTTTTTTAACAAAAATACAACTTTTGATTACCAGAATTAATAGGCTATCAAGTCAGCAATGATCAAACAATTTAATTCATTGGTAAAAATGTTTTCTACAATGGGAGTCGATTGATTTGTCACGTGATGAGAGTAAAAACGAGTAAGACTTCCGGTAGGCTGTACACAACACACTAGTGCCTGACAACA